CCTTTATATTGCTTGCTATTGGAAAGGACCACAAACCCATTGAATGATGGAAAGAAGGCAGGAGGGAGACCTAGGAGAGAGCATTGTTTAAAAAAGAAACCCACACATTTTTCAAGGGGTCAATAAAGGTAATAAGAGTTTTGCTGAAAAATTGTATTGTATGTGGACATTTAGAACAATAAATCTCATGGTAATAACTGTTTATATGTCTTTTCACCATAGAATGAGGTGTGTGTGAATTATCTAGCTTAATAATACTGTGGTAATTTTTCCTCCCTTTTCTTTTCTCTGTTATGAAAACAAATGTGGGTTGTTTTCCTCAGCTGACAGAAAGACCTTTGATCCAGCAGAAAATGGAGGGAGATGTTTCTCAGCTCTTCCTTCCTGCGCCACCACCTCCTACACTATTCCATAGTCCTGGAGATTTGCAAAATTTATTTTGGACTACAGCTCCCCAAGTGCCACAACCCACTCAGACAGTGGCTGTTCTGCCAGGCGATTCTGGGATGTATAGTCAAAAAGAAAAAAAAAGAGGGGAAGAAAAAGGAGAAAAGAAAAGAAAAGAAAAAAGAATAACTCAGCTCAGTTCAGATTTTAGGAAGGTGCAGGGGGCCGAGGGTGATGGAGAGATCACCAAATTTGCTTCCCTTCCTGTTCTACAGATCTACTGTTTTGCTGATGGAAATCTCCATGGATCAAATCTATTCCATCAGTAAAGCAATACCAAGGAATTGCCCTGTGGTATTTTTAATCCTAAATTGAACCTTATGCATTATTTTTCTTTCACCCCCTTTCCTTACAATATAAGTTTTGAAAAATTGCACAGCGCCAACCATTGTCCAAAATACCATTAACAGGGCTTTATATCAAAGAGATTAAGAGATACATGTAATATTTGTTCTATAAAACCAAAGTATAAAAATAATTTGTAACATATAAGTAATGTTTTCCCCAGCTTCAAAAAAAACAAAAATAGTTTGACCTGACTAAATCATACAGTTTTGCTTCCTGCTACCATTTAACCATTTCTATATATATAAAAAACAGGGCCTGTAAACTAAAATACCAATCAATCACCATTACCTCAATGTCAAGTAGAAACTTCACTGTATTTATATTCCTTATGTTATGTAAAAATATATTCCCAGGGAAGATTGTAATAAAGCAAATAAACTAAAACATTAAAAAAATCATAATATGCAAGAAAAAATAAGAGGGAGAACAGAAACCATATTGAAACAAAACAGACTTGAGAACACAAAAAACAGTAAATATCTTTAAAGGTTTTCACCTGGTCCCAAAAGACATATGTAGTGGCCAGATAAGCCTCCCAAGAAAAAAATTTACCCGGAAAAAATACACTTAGGATGTATAGTATAACCAATAAGTCTTTCTGCACTGTGGCCAGCAGCTTGGGAAGCAAAGCCAACAGAAGAGTACAGTGAAAATTCATGTTAGTATTCATATTATCATATTCCTCAATGATACTAATCATCCCTCAGTGATACATATTAGTATCAATTTCTCAGCACCAAGAAGAACAAGAAGGATGAAGAAGATGTGAATGGGGCGCAGGTGAAAGGGGGTGGCAAAATAGTAGGCCAGGAACAAGGAGATAGGGCGTGGTACGTGAGGCAACCATGGAATAGTAAGGATGACATCTCAGCATGGGTGGGGACAGCAAAGAAATCTGGTGCAGATTCATAAGATGCTTGGTGGTAATACTGATCATAAAATGAGTTCACTTTATTGCCAGGGCAATACAGGCAGACATTTGGATTCCTCCAAAGTTCTCAGCATACAGAAAGGTACATAAGGGAAAAGAAGAGCCTAAGTCAGCCATGTGTCCAGCACTATAGAACTTTAGAAAGTAAGCACCAGCAGTTTGAATTGTTTTTGGAAGCAGAATGTCAGGATTTGTTCTCCAGAGCTGGTGCCAGACAGCAACTTAGCAGTTCTCTGTTGAAACAAATGAAGTTGCTGAGTTATATTTTAAGGCAATAGTTTTTGTTGTTTTGTTTGTGGCATAGGCCTGCCAACGAAAGCATTTCCTGTTCTTGGGTTTTAAAACAAACACATCATTTGACATACATATCACCATATTCTCCTGCCCAAATATGAATGAACTGGGGAGACAACATTATAATTTAGGCGGTAAGAGGATGTAATGACATCCACATCTTATTTTGTGAAGAAGGAAGATCTGTGACTTGTCTCTAGGTTGGAAGAATGGTGACTAAAAATGAGTACCTGGCAGGAATTTTCTGGTGGGCCACTGAAAGGAAGAGGGCAGGCCCTTAATCTCTTTCTTCTTCTTCTTTTTTTTTAAAGGGAAAGCAATCATATTTTCCTCTGAAATTGTCACTTTCTCCAAAACAGATTGCATTTGAAAGAACCAAGGCTGAGCCAGCAACCCCTAGTTTCTCAATGCCTTTCGTTAGTGACACAAAAGCATTTCTCCATCATTCATTTTTCTTGAAGCAGTTCCCTCACTCAAATAAAACCAAACCAGCTTAAGAAGTAGATTCAAATATGTAGAGTTCTTAGGACTCAGGCCTGATTATCCATTATGCTCGGTTCAAACTGACACATAAGGAAAGACGACACAATTGGTTTCTATGCAGTCTTTAAACACCAAAGAGGTTGCAGAGTTGAAGCAGGATTCCTATCTTCAGACAAAGCCATTTGCTTCTCTCTCTCTCTCTCTCTCTCTCTCTCTCTAATTCCATATCAATAACCTTTCGTTTAACGTCCAATTCAATTGGGAGTGCTATTTATTTCTAAAGAGACAAGGTCACTGTATTCTGTGTTGCAACAGAGCCATCTGCTGGCCAGCCATTGAGAAATCAGGAGGAGGAGGGCCACACTTGGAGGAGGGCAGCTGCACCAGTTTATTCATGTACTGTATTCCTGTCTGTGTATAAGAGGATGGGGTTGGGGTTTTATATTTTAGATTGGGGTGGGCAAAGTGTGCTGTCACCGGACTGCAACTCCCAGTGTTCCTTACTATTAGCTGTACCAGTTTATGCTGATGGGAGTTGTCACCCAACATCTTGAGGGCTGTGTTCACACACTCCTAATTTACATGAAGTGACACATAGATCAAGAGTGGCTGAGTCCTTCCCTATCATACCTCGGTGTATTGTATTTTATGCCTTTTTGCCTGGCCCATAGCTTGGAAACATTCCTCTTTGGGACTACAGCCCTGAAAAGCTGACAACCTATATTGCTGTAGACCATGTTGGCTGGGGGATTCTGGGAGTTGTAGGCTCTAAAAATAATATTCCCAAGCATGGGTCAAAGAGACATTGCAGCTATGGGCCTGGTTTGGAAGCATACAATCAAAGGGATCGAAATTGTCAGAGGTAAACCATGGTTGAAAACAAGTTGAAATTAGATCCTGATGGAGAAGCAAGACTACACAGCTATGAGATGAACTAAGTTCCAGTTTTAGGAACTGACTTGGATTCAACGACTTAGGGAATGAATGTAGATAGTTATAACAAACTAAAAGGTTCTCAAACCCAATCCCCTTCCTTCCAAATTAAAAAGAAACTGAACTTGGTTATTCACTCTAAAGCTCACTTGAACTATGAACGTGGGAAACTGTACAAAAGCTAACTGGCAAAGACTGCTGACAATGTTCTCCCTCTTCCAAAGTAAAGGTCAAAATAAGAAAATCACAGTATCACTCTCAACGTTATGAGAGTATGAGCATTCCAGGTAAATCATACATCGGGTCACCTCTTGCCATGCTAGGAGCACTGCCAGTACTTTTACCTTGGATCTTTGCTACTCTTAACTGCCTATTCAATTCCACCAATCTTTGTTCTTTCTATGTCACTACCCCTTGCTCAGCGTACAGTGCTGATGTAAGCTGCTCTCTAGTTCAATCAATCACTATCCAGAACCTCATCATCTCCTGAGGCAACAAGAAAATATCAAGGCTTCCTTTTCTATAAAACATGGAGATGGTGCATCATATTTCTCAGTTATGATGTGCAAAATCTTATACTGCATGAATATCTGTCTGTAGACTCTGAAAAATAATGTAACTGAAGCACCAGAGTAACTGGGGAAGATGGAAAAATGGGAAGGCAGTACATCTGCCACAAAAAATCTAGGAAAAGCAAACACCTTACAAGGTCATCTTTCCTTAATATAGCACAACTAAGAAAACCCACTGAAGTACATTTACCCAGCTGACAAGTCATCTAAATGTAGCTACTTGGTTGAAACAGGATGTCAGAGACAATAAAGACAAAGGGCTGTAAGTACATTAGAACCATGCCTCTTTGCCTGCAAATGCTGGAATGGAAATGAAGGATGAAGAACAATTACTCCAAGCTGACAAGGTCTTCTCAATTTGCAGCTGCATATGGATTTCATTGACCTAGGTGGCTGGCTTCTAGTCATTGTCATCAATGGAGAAATTTCAGCACTTTTTAAAGCTTTTTCTGGTATTTTAAGATTAGCATACTATTGATTGATAACACTTTAGAAACAGTCAAGAGATTTTTTTTTACTATTCTTTTATAACAAAAGCAGTGAAGTTGAATTCCTAAAGGCATCTTTCTATATCTTCTCTTTATCAGTGGCTATATGAAGGGACAGATTACAACTTTATTATGTTTAACAAAAGGCTGAGAAGGAGGCAGTATTTCTACTAAGTGGAAGTTTAAAGACTTATAAAGAGATTTCTTGGAATGTAGTATCTTACTTTTGTAGTGTTCAGACATGATTCAAGAAGTGGTGTATGTAACCCTGTATTTTTTTTTTCATTTAGGGATAAAATATTATATCCAATAATATACCTGAAACTCTCTCAATACTGTATAAGAATGTGAGGATAAATTAATATGAATAAAAGGTACCGCATAATAAGAATCCAAACTAGTTGTCATATATTCAACTGACAAACATCAGTATTAGTTGGACTCATCACAACATAATGTTCTGCTGACAGCTTGTACACACTGTGCCTAGGCAGTGACAAAATCTCAATGTAACAGAATATACACTTTATTTTTTTCAAGAGGAAAAAAATGCTAACAGAATTCAGTACAGTCAAAAGTTTACATTTTTAAAATGAAAGCATTACAAAAGACAGTTAGCAGAGAGGCTTTAATATACTCAGAAATTCCAGGCCAGTTTCCACAATCAGAAAGAGTTTATACCCATTATTATATCATTTAAAAAGTGTAATAGAAATAAGATACCAGGTAGATCTTAAGCATGGAAATATTCTTTCATATGAAGAGTACCATTTAAATCCTTCTACCAGTTATTAATCAAGCAGTTGTGCACACGTGCACACACAGGAGAGACACAATATTAACAGAAACAAGAGATGTATAGCAAGAGACAATTTTATCCAGAGGTTTCTATAAATGGTAATAAGTCTGCTGTAGTGCCTCAAAAGCATTTTACAGATTATCTACAAAACTTATGTACAAAAGTAACTTTCCAAAGCATGCATTCTACACAACAAAGAGAAAGACAGATGCTAAACATATATAGAAATGTTTACTTTTGTTATAAAAATGATACCACTTTTGTAATGCAGTTTAACTGTCTCTGTATTGACAAATGGAACTAAAAATTAATTTCCTGCTTAAAGAGAAAGGGCAGAGTACACTATTTCAAATTCAACAAAGACAAGAGCCTATAAAAATTCTTACATAGTTAAGTCTCTCTGACCTCTGGGGTGTCTAATAGAATAGCTTCAGCCTGCACATGTCAGATGTACCTACACTATAGGTATGCAATTATTTGGAAATCTTTTTAAAGGAACTTCACTATTAATCTATTTTTAAAGCATTTTTTCTGTTGCTATTTCAGTGCCATGTCAATGACAGTGGAGTTGTATAAGCAAAAAGTAATGTTATTTAGCAGGAGAAATACCAAGAAAAGCATAGTACATACAAGATTTCAGTGTAGAAGGGCAAATATTATTTCCTAATCAATCATGTTAGATCCTGTACTTCAAACCATTTAGCTGGTTGATGAAGTTTTAAAAGAAATGTAAGTATCATGCTGCAAAAGTCAGACAAAATTCCCATTTATTGAAGCCTTTCATAGATACGTACAGAGAATATGCTTGCATCACAAATGAGAAAGCTGTTTTTTACAGCTATAATGTTATAAATCTAATTTCAGAAACAACAAGTGACAATTCACTACGTACAGATGAAGGTTCCAAAAAGCACCTAATTAAGACAAAATACAAAGGAGTTTGTGTTTCTGAAGTCATCACCGTGTGTCAACAGGAGTTAGTGTAATGTAAGGACTAATACCTGGTAGGCACATCTGACCCCAATAAGACTGAGTAATGTTACAAATGAACTAATGAAAGTATCTTCCATGCCAATTCTTGTTTTCTCTGCTTTTGTAATTTATTAAATGCTTTGTAACAAACCAAAACTCCACAACAGCAATTGAATTTTGTTTAACTTCTGCAGTTTTCTTAGGGAAAAAATCCTCAAGCCATTGCTACGTTAAATGATTTTAAACAAGTTTGCAGAGGTTACAGGTCGAAGCACTTTTTACTCCATAAGAACTGAGATTAGTATTAATATTAAAGTGTATTTACATATTTTGTAATACAAAATACAGTGATATTTTGTAATACAGAATACAGTGGCCAGAATCCTGTTGGTCCTCCACAGTGTGATCCCACCTGCACTGTCAGCTGTCGCACTCCTCAGCTTCCTCCAGTCAGTGAAGCAGGCTGGCAGAACAAACAGCTAGCAAGACATTCTGTGGCTAGCCTTATACTGTACATGACATTTTTCCCCAATACAATTCTGGCCACTATTCCAATAATCATGTTAATAGCCATGCTGTAGACACAAATGTACAAACAAAACATTTCTGCTACTTTGGAATTTACTACTCTCTCAGCTGATGCACCAAAACCTCTCAATTGTTACTCCAGCTGAGAAACAGCTGAGCAGCCACTTTCCCTTAGCTTCAATCTAGGAGTTTATCTAGTTTATAAATTCAGACAAGGTTCACGTGAAAGCATTGCTAGAACCTCAAGCAAGAACATGCTACTAAAGGACTAGAGCAAGGGGGAAATATATTAAATCTCTGAAAATAGAACTATTCTTCACAACCTTGCTTTTTATTCACTGCCATTAGATTTTACCTGCAGTCCAGAAATACGGACAAAGTGACAAGCTTTCACATCAAAAGCTATTTCATTATGAATCAGCTCAAATCAACAGAATTAAGGTCCAAGTGTTCACAATGAAATGTCTCTAGGATTAGGGTAATGTCTTATCTCCCTGTTTTATTGTTCTTTGTAAATTATTTGTCATCACTTCCTTGCAGCTGTGACAGCATAAAGACCTATAAATCTGCACTAGATACATACGTATAATGCAAAGCTAAAGGGAGGAGGCACTCAACATATTTATATTGCAAAAAAATACAATTACATTCACTTACATTTCTGTAACAAATGTGGAGAAGACCAATGTAATACGGAAAGGGATGTATTTCAGCTATAGAATGAACCTGAATTCATTCCTGCTACTCAGCTTAAATGGGACATACATACCAGCAAATGGTTGCTCAACTATTAGTCTTGTACCCCTTCCATAAATTACTTTAGGAAGGCCAGAGTATTAAACAAAATTTTGAATGAATGATCTGTTTGCATTATTGAAAAGAAAGAAGGGGCACTGGAATTAAATACCCAACCAATCCTTTGGCTGGGAGACATCAGGAGCTCCACATAAGAGCAGGACATAATCTTTTTAAAGTGGCTTTACAGTACACATGTATTTTGTGAACACATTTTTACCTCACTACAAATATAAAAATATGCATTTATATTGACTGTATACAGAGATGTGAAACAACTATTTAGCTGAAGTATGCATTCAGGATACCTGTTTCTCTACGAAATGAGTGTTTACAGAACTAACTGTATCATCTCTTTTTACAGATAAGTTTGAGAACTGCAACATTTTGTTACTGAAAATTATAGTGGATCAATGCAGTTTTATACAGTCAGCTTTTGTGGGCAAATCAAGGATACCCTCAAGCTGTTTGAAGGCAATGGAGGGAAGAAAAGCTTCTGACCAAGAGCTTATGGTCCAAGTATTCAGGAATTTTGTAAAAACAAAAACAAAAACAAAACCAGAAACTATTACTATGCAGATTCTGATACGTCTGATACTCCTAATATATTTGCTCAAAAACGTTTTTCAATATTCCTTTAAGCTCTGATTGCTGTTTCTCTTTCACTAGACATTCCCTTGACATTTAACAGAACTCCCCACTTACTAAGTCACTTCTATTACTAGTATACTTGGGTTACTGCAGGCAATACAGCACAGAAAAGGTATGGGAAAATATCAATTAAAATGTTTAAAGAAGCACTCATGAAGACGATGGGAATTTTGACAGTTAATATAAAGCCAAAACCCAAGATTAATACACTTAATAACAAAATTTATAAAAGCTTGAGTATCTACAGCATTAAGTCTCCATTACTTCTTGAATTAATGATACAAGTAATGTGAGAAAAGTCCACCAAAATTTTACAGGAAGCCTGCACAGAGTTCACAAGAGCTATAAAGTGTTCCATTAACCAAGGTCATTGCTCCAGCTGTAAGCAGAAACGTCACATGAATATTATGTAATTCAAAATCAGCCAAATAGAGGTTAATAATGCAAGTCAAATGAATTATCTGTGAATACTAGGAGTAGGTCCTAATATTTTTAAAGTAAATTGCTTCATCTATGAATAAGGTTCACTTAGTTTGGATATGTCACTCTTTATTTTACCAAGAGACTGCTATTTAGGTCAAGACTCCTACATCACGTTTGCTACTGTATGGAAGTTTTATCTGCTTGTGTATAGAAGTTTTCAGCAATAATCAGAATAAATGTGGAAGTTGTTATCCTATGACTGTATTTTTTCATTACTGTTGTCACCATAAATTTGTTATTGAAGAAGGAAAAAACTGATAGGTCCAGTTATGCTCATTATTTATAGCCACCTCTTACAGCAAACAAATAATGACTTTTAAGAGCAATCCTATGCATAACTGTTCAAAAGTAAGTCCAACTAAGTTATATGAGACATTTCCCAATAAAAGGGTATAGGATTACAACCTTAGATGCCCATAAAGAAACATGACTAATTCCACGTATTGCTTATTTTGGGCTAAGAAAAATTAAAGATTAGATCTACTACATTTGGAGAGTAATGCCAAATTTCTACACAAAAAGTAACTTACAGACAACCTTTGTACTCTTTTGCAGCCAATATAACATGAGTTGCCAAGTGACTATCTTATAAAAATGAAATGTGGCAATTTACATGCAATTCCAATTATTTCATAAGTAGTATCTTAATATGTTACACTGCTTAAAGTTTTATATTGACACACCACAAGTAATATCACTACTATTGTAGATTTTTCAGTGACAAAAATATACATAGTAAAACTAATAATATTTTAGCATTGCTGCCATTACAGCATTGTGTCACAGGAACATACTTCATTTTATAATGTTGTTCAACTGCAAAAATTGGTTCAGAACTTTGAGATTAACCACTAACACATAAAAAGTCCTTATAAACTGTATTTATAATATAGTAAATACAAGCACTGGTAATCTGGCTCTAAATGCACATTGTAAGAATGTGCACTGTGGCCTTTAGACTAATACTAAAAGTCTGGCATACCAATTTTTTTCAGATGTGTTTAATTGTTATGTTAACACTCTAAGATGTTAGAGACTTTAACAGTCCACAGTCAAGAAGTTTCTAAAATTATGCATACTATACTGGCTATTAAGAACTATTAAAATCTACTTAAAGAGTGAGTTCTTCCTCCCCCCCCCCCTTTTGGGTTACCTCTTGAAAACAGCAGACTTTTCTAAAATATGATCAACCAGCAAAGTTTTGTTGAGTTTTTCTTGTCAGTTAAGCTCTTGGACCTGAAACTAACATACTGTTAAGCTGATTATACCTATACCATCCGAGTCAACTGATAGAAGGTTGCTGACACAACCACCAAGAACGTAGGAAAATTAATGGAAGTTCTATTCAATTTTAGAAAGAATTTTACTAATTATCTGGAAAAAATGTGTCTGACTGTGTTCCTTCCACTTGCCTTCCTTTTCCTCATACACACTTCAGAAATATGAGACACAAACTCTAGCATTCTTCATATTTGATTAATAAGATGCTCCACATTAGTAGACATAATTATTAGTAAACGTATTATTATTTTGACACAAATAAGGTGCAAAATAAATGCATCTTAAGATCATGTTTAACAAAGTTGAAATCCTTTTTTTAATATTCCTCATTGCTACCTAGATAGCTTATCTGTAACCTTGGTTCTCTTCATACTGTATGCATTTATTTGAAAGCATTTCATCATGCTGTGTCTGATAGTTCAGCTTAGTAAATTTGAAGCCGAGTATTACTTTAAGCAGTCAGAATTTTAAAAACCTCTTCACATAGAAAAAATGGAGGAAATTATACAAAAGTTGCAGTAATTTTGTCCCAAATTATGTATTCAATTAAGAGGGGGGGGAAGTAATATAACTCTATGCACTTGAGAAAACCAGACTGTGCCCCTTATTTTGATGGGAAACGCCACAGAAATTAATGCTGTTTCTTTCAGTGATGCAAAGAATTTAGATATTGCAAGCCCTGCCCTGTTATTATAAATCCCTGTTTCCCATTATACATCTGTAGTTAAAAATATGTTTATGAAAATAAAAAATTAGAAATATGATTACTATAAAGATTAGACATTACTGTGCCATCATGTTAGTTCTACAATAGTAATGTCAGAGGTTGTAAACTGAAGAAAAGTGCTAACTTTAGAAGCTTAGTATCTATCAGCTTTATCAGCTGAGAAAATAATAAGCTTGCTTGCTAGTATTTAATAAGATAAACAGCATCTTGGAGCTTAATATTCCCTGTTACTTTTATTTCTCTCATATGCTGATAGTATTTTATATCAAAACATATTTCTTTGTAGTCTATTTTCTACACATGCTATTTCTATTTCAACAGCACAAAATACAATTGCTGAACAGGATTTAGTTGCAATCTGAGCATCTGTTCCAAAGCACAGAACAGATGAAGGGGAAAAACAAAACAGAAGATTCTTAACATATAACAGTTTAAGCAATTTTCACTTAATACCAATCCCTTTCTTCCATCTAAGTATCATCCTATAAACTGCTTCAACTGGTACTTAAGCACAACTACACCATGTGTAGCTGAGGAGAGTTAATAAGGATACTGTGGACTATGGTTAACAAGGAAAAAGAGCAGTACAAAGAAAGTGTAGCATTAAAGACCTTAGCCTTTACATCATGCTCAGCTTTTAGGCAGTTCAGTTGAGGTACTTGCAGGGAAGCAGGGACATCAGTTGTTTGTGTAGAATACCTCACATCTTTCATTGTTCCCTCTGACAGCAGGTGTTTTCATGTGTAGTTTCTAGTTTCTTTGTGATTTTAAGAGTCTTTAAAGTTGCATCACTCGGAATCGGATAAGTCACTTTAAACAAAGCAAAGCAAGAATATGACTATTTATTTATATGACAGCATCTTGTTACACTGAACTCCCAGGGATGTCACCAATTACCCATAATAGAGGAAATAAAATTTTAGGATATTTCAGGAATTTTAAACTAGTGCTGTCTATAAAGCAACTGAGATAAATAACACTTTGAAGGTGAACAACCATACTATTTATTTCAATCCACCAATGATTAGAGCATTTTCCAGTTCCTTTAACGATCTGTACTGGAGCCTGTCTTATCTGCTAATCTATACCCAGTTCTGGCAGCTTCTCCTTACAAATGGCTTGGCCTTCAAAAAGTACAAGACTACAAAACAAACCCTGCACAACAGAGGACAACTATTGAAAGAAGCACATCTAGACACTCTGATTCTACAATAATAGCAATGTCCCTGACTTTAACACCATTTTTAATAACCCTGAAAATCAATTTATATATTCAGGCTTCCTTCTCTTCTAGTTGCAATGAATTTTTAACATACAGGGAAATTTTTCTATAAAAGATTCCTTTTGATCAAACAACCCTCTACATGTATTCTGAGTATATATCAGAAATGACTCTCATAAAATTATGCAATTACTTACTTACAGAGGTTCTTAGTTATCTTTACAACAGATGGCTTGGAAAATCTGAGTTAGAATGTATGCTAACTGGAGAAGCTATTATCACTTACCCACTATACAAGAACTCTTGGATGTTAAAAGTAAGAACTAATACATGCTTGAGACAAGACAGAAAACTGTCATTGAAACAAGATGTAAAGCAGTTGAAGAGATGATGAAATTACATTGTTTGCATCAAACTGATGTGGTCCCTCTATATATTGGTTAGGAGGTTAGAGCAAATGCTGTAGTAAAGCATCATTTGGATGGATCTAAAATTAGGAGTCCTCAAATTTGTACTGCCTATACACTACAGCAAATCACAAAACATTATACAGTGGGGTCTCTACTTAAGAACTTAATCCGTATTGGAAGGTGGTTCTCAAGTGGAAAAGTTCTTATGTAGAATCTGCATTTCCCATAGGAATGCACTGAAAACCATTTAATCCGTATCTGCTCTTTTCCGTCCATAGAAACTAATGGGAAGCTGCTATTCTGCCTTCTACCACTAGAGGGGGATTTTTTTCTTTTTTTCCCCTTAGGTCAGGGAACAGTGTTAAAAGCACTTCTAACGAAGCTAATTTTGAAGCAATGGACTGAAAACCAATTAATCTGTTCTGGCTGTTTTTTTTATGTAGAGGTGCGTTCGTACATTGCAGCATTAGTTCCCATAGGAACTAATGCAAAGCTGGTTAATACGTACTCTACCACTAGGGGGAGAACTTTTTTTTAACCTAAGATGACCTAAGGTTAAAAAAAGAGCAGGAAAGTTTTTTTTTCCTGTTCTTATCTGGATTTTTGTTCTCAAGTAGAAGCAAAATTTAGCAAATGGAGCTGTTCTTAAGTGGAATTGTTCTTAAGTAGGGACGTTCTTAAGTAGAGACCCCACTGTAGCTGTTCCTTTAAATAAAAATAAGAATGTGCCCTTCTAAAGTATGACGTTCAAGAAACTATATCAAATTAATCTGCTCCAACACTTAGTTTTTGATATTAGTTTTAAAAACTAATACATGTGATTTAGGGAGAAAGAATCTTTACCCAAAGGTAATAAATGACAGTCTGGTCAGCTGAGGAGAATGGATTGTAGTATCCAAAGGGCACAGGTGTTTAAAATAGTTTCCAGAATAATACAGGCATAGCAGTGGTTCGCACAAATACACACTCTCTAATCCAGATTTCTGTTCCCATTGAATCAAGCCTTAGAGTAACAATACACTGTTATTAGTCTTACATTTCAGATTATTTCATGTACTTTATTAACTTGGGAAAGTGAACAATTCTCTTATAAATCTCTCATTTTCATATTATACCACTTGTTTTGAAGCAGAAGGAAAAGGTTTTTGAACTACATATTTGCCTTCTAATAAAAATTGTCAAACAACCAATAGAAGTCCTACTATTTTAACAAGCTAAATTAATCTTTATTTCTCTAGCTGTTTATTATTAGTGTTATCTGATTTTAAAAGCCAAGTTCTCAAAATGTGTTAAATTGTTTTAAAAACATTAAAAACTGAGATACTGCAATGGAAAGATCAGAAAGTATCTGACCACATTGTGTCAGCACAAGTGTATCTTGGTTTCAGACACAGAGAGACAACACAAAAATTTCTGAGTCTTTACAGATGTCAGAGCAATCCAATAGACAATGTAAGGGAAAAGGGTTTGCTTACAAGGGTCCATATCTGCTCTCATATTTAGAGACAATGTTCTTGCATTTTCCCACTTCCTTCCGCAGTTCTGCCACCTCGGTCCTCAAAGCTGTATTTTCCTTCTCCAGAAAGGCAGCTCGGATTGTGATCTGATTTTCTTTCAGACGCCGAGCATCACGAGATCGCTTGGCTGCCACATTGTTCTTCTTCCTCCTGGTCCAATATTTTTCATCCTTGGGGGAAATAATACTTTTAAGTATCAAAAGGACACAAAACATATTTTGCCTAGCTATGTTCTTTTATCAGTGACAGCCAGAGTGCCTGGGTACAACTCCCACCCACAGGCTACTACTATTTTTGGTAGCCTCTAGGTTAGACTACTACAATGCAGTATATGAGGCAAGTGCCTTCAAAGATTTCTCAGAAATAAGATCCAGAATACAACTGGTAGCTTGCTGACTAGGACCAAGGAGCCAGAATACATCATTTCAGGTCCTAAACAGCTCCACGTCAACAACCTGTTTAACCAACATAAAGATTAAGGAAAATTTTAGTAAAAATTAAAATTTGCTTGAAATAATTACAGCAATATATGCTCAATCCATTATCAACTATTTTTACTACATGCAAATAATACAAATGTACAATTTTCACATGTGTGTTGGAGAAAAGGGGTAAACTCTCATTAGTGGGAGGTGCAAGGATGCAAACACAAGTGGATAGTTGCACTTCATTAATTAAACTATACTAAAAAAAGTTCCAGTAGATCAACAGATAAAAATATTTATGTAAAATACCAGTACTATGAATTCAACAAGCAAGAATGAAAATCTGGCTTATAGTGAATAAATCTGATTCTAAGAACATCTTGAGATACTAGCATTTTAAACAGTAATACATTTTAATGAAATATAGAATACATCAACCTAACAGATTCTAACTTGATGGTCTGAGAAAGTAAGCATGTTACCTTTTGATCTTCTGGGACAAAGACTTTCTTGGCTTTTTTAATCATGGGCTGTGGTTTCAGGTCCTCTTCAGCAAACTTGTGCTTTCTTGGATTGAACAGCTCACCTCCTGGCACACTGGACAGCACTAAATCAGCAGGGTCAGGGTTGAAATTCACATCAACCTCAACACAGTCTGGATCAATGGGGCTGGGAGTCAACCTCTCATTATCTGGTGAAGATTCTAACAAGAGGAGGAGACAATGGAATAACAAATGTGAAAACAATGGCAACAAAGGAAACAGAGAGCCAAAATGGGCCCACTGCTGGAAAATCCAGTATCTATGAAGTTACCTCCATGTAGAAGGTATTTTACAAAGAATAAGAGCACAGATCCCATCCCCATACTCAAGGGATTTATAAACTAATAATTTAAGAAAACTTAGCATTATTCCAGAAAGAGATATAAAGGAGACAACCATGAAACAGGCTATATAATTATTTCATGGATGTGTACTTATTACAGTTGAATAAAAACTTGAAGGTTGTGTCAAAGGCTCAAAAACACTACAAACCAGAGAAGCAGAATGATTTTGAAAAAAAAGATAAGAAAAGAACTATAAAGCAGATGTAAGTCTGCACTGTTACACCAAGGAAGAGTACAAATGTCTGCATTTCACTCCTGCGCTGCACATGATACTAGAAGTTGAGGTTGGGAACAGACCCAGTTTCAGAATGTTTCATGGTAATCTAGCTCAACAGATAGCAAAACATTCAGCTCATCAAAAAGTTAGAAATTAAATACAGTATATGCATCAACACCATATACTGTATTTCACAAATTAAGCAAAGACACACAAGATAACTAAGTACCACTAAGAGACGACAGTAATACAAGAAGTAAAAGCCAGTCCATTTCAGCATTTCATCATTCTTCTTGGATGATAGTGATTACTAGGGCACTTTTAACAATGGCATGGTAGCTTCATGTGCATAAACTCTATGTATCTGTTTTCAGTATAGAATAGACAAATCTGGGACCTTGCTCTACCACTCTGTCACTGGTTGTAATTTAGTTCCAAAACACTGGTGAAGCTGAAATTAACCATAGGATATCATACCATATCCCTACAGCTGAAATAAGACACCTGTTAAGATTAGTTCTTAGCAGCTGCTATTTCCTAGTACTTTGAGCTTGTGCACACACAGAAAACCCAAGGTGTTTTTTAATTAATGGCATTTGAGTACATTTTAAAATGACTGTGATTTTAAACAAATCCAGACGGCTACAGAGATCTTCAGTGTACAATGAAAAAAAGGTTTTGAGAGGGCTGCCTGCCTGAGCAAGAATGCAGCACAGGACATTATTTTAAGGATTAATATTTATCAGAGGGGATGACTTCAAAAAGGCATTCTTATGTCACACAAAGCCAAGGAGTACTTTAACAAATGTTTTCAAAACATAAATTTATTCTAAGAAAAAAAGGCAGTGATCCATGTTATTTTAATACAAAGTTTTAATTATTTTAGAAAACTTAGCATTATTCTACAACTATCTGGAACTCAAACAACTATCTTTTTAATCACCAACAACTATCTTTTTAATCACCAAGTCCCGCAGTATAAATTTCTGATTGGGACACTAAAATTCAGCAGCAGGAATTCTTCTAAAGACCAAAAAAATCATGCATCAGATATGGCTCCTTATCATTTAATGCCTCTACTTACTTATAATTCTTTTCCTTCCTGCAATCAGTTGGTTGACTTGTGCACAGAATATGTCAGCAATGATTTAATGAATTTTGGGATGTGTAATTCTAGGACTAATTTCAAGCCTGTCTAAAATTCATTACCAAGCTATTTCTATTTATTTCTGGGATTTGGATGGGGTGAAAGTATTTATTTTAATACTCAGCTACTGTGGAAGTCCACCACAAAAAAGTTATATGGTGATTGAGCAAAGGCATTCTGTATACATTCAAACTGGACTATTTCATTTTTAATATTATTTGGGGGATAGGGGAATGACTATGTGCTTTGGGATTCCTTCGAGTTCCTTCTCTCCTTCTTCTCTATCTTTGGAAGTTACCTCTTTACCCCAATTCCAAAGAGTCCAGATAGATAATTCAACTTATAACTAGGTCTGAAATCCTGCATTTGGTTCTAACACAGAGGATGCGGTCTGTGGCAGCATCTGAAGAATATGAAACTGGGCATCATGCCCACCTAAGTTGCCTAACAGTGCTTTACCTGAAAGCACAGTTCAGTACCCATGCAGAAGACCTGCACTTCTATCACACTGGATGTGTGCACTGCTTTCTTAAATGGAACTATTGTAACAGGGGCCATTATTTATGTTTTGTTTTTGTTTTTTGTTTACTTTAAAGCAGATTCTGCTGTTCTAATCTGCTTTCCAAATGTTTAGCACGCCCATGCATTAGATGCAGTATGCTTTCACTCTTAGCAAAGATACTCATATTCCAAGATTGAAAAGACAAATGCCCTCTGTTTAATGGTTAGAATACCTATTTTAGCTATAAGTGAATGCTTTTGGATTAAAAAGTCAGATTATATTAATTTATATGCCTACACATTAACTCATGCATTTTCCTCCTTCTTTTTTCTTTCTCTCTTTTTGATTTGGCTGGCTCCTCCCAATGTACTTATAATTTAGACACATCAAATTTTAAGAATTAATGGCTTATGGTTACTTTGTTTCAGTTCCTTTTTAAAGAAAGCTGTCGGGACAAGGGCTTTAATTACTTATTCACATTTTGCAACCATTTTAACACATTTATAAACTTAATTATTTCTAGAGCACTAATCTTTGAATAACATACTTAACTTGTATGCCAACTCATAATTCAAGCCTTCTTTGTCCATTTCCCACAGCTAGGCAACAGAACAAGAACTGAGAATATGTCAACATTTAGACACAATTCATCAGTACTGTAACATTACATCTCTACTGAACGTGAAGCAATTAGAAGGACAGAACAAGAATGTTTATAACTGAAGAAAAGCGGTACACATTCTTATTTCCCAGTAAACATTACAGTAGGATTCTGGTTATGCATAAAGACTTTGGTGGATATATAACACTGCAGTATACTACGTAGAATTTTCATTTTAATTTCACTTCGAGCTGATTGTGGAAAAGCAGGGTCAGCAGCAATTATGACTGATAAATATGGAAGCAACTTAAATCAATAGTCCCCAACCTTTTCCCAACTGCAGATCGTTTGGGGTGTATTGTGTGCCCACAGAGGGGCGGAGCTCGCTAGCAGGGGTGCTTGCAGGGGGCACAACACACTTGCAGGGGGTGCAACACATGCACATGCATGCGCGCTATGGCGCTCTCAGGGGCACTCGCGCATGGCATGCTCAGAGGGGTGGAACGCGCTTGCGCGTGTGATGGTGCTTGCAGGGGGTAGGAGATCTGTGTCTGCAGCCCAGTCCTGGATAGGCCGCGGACCGCTGCCGGGTTGCGGATCAGGGGTTGGGTACCTCTGACTTAAATGAACTGAACCAGTTTGAGCCAAATTGTTATAGTTGTATAACGGTGCTAACCCACATATGTCTATGCAGGAATGGCTTCTAATGAATTCAGTAAGACTACAACCCATATTGGATATCTAGCTGAGTGTAGTGGTTGGAGTGATGAACTAGGACTCAAGCCATGGAAACTCACTAGAGGCCTGGAACTGGTAAAACTACTATTTAAATAGGACTTACCTTAAAAGCCCTATTAGGTCACTGTGTCAGTTCCAACTTGATGGTACATAAAAACAAGCCCCAGATTAGTAATAATAAACACATGCCATCAAGTCAATTCTGCTTTATGGCAACCGTTTCCAGGGTTTTCTAGGTAGAGGATATTAAATATATGTTAAACTCCCTTCCTACTGATGAATGCCTAGCTCTTGTGCCTTGTTAGGCAAGGAATAGGAGGTTCATGTTCAACTGAAGGCTAAAAGCTTTGACTGAATTTGTAACCGGTTTACGTGATCAAAGCAGCTGTACAAATTATTCTCCATGCTTACAACTATGCATAGGACTTGGACTGCAACTCCATTTGCCAAGAATTTGTCCCTTTACTCCCCACATTTTTAGAGGTCCAGATAAAAAACCACAGTTCACAGAGGGGCCTCTGTTGCCACAAATTACTTTTCAATTATTAAGAAACTGCCCTTGTACTGCTTAGGTGGGGCAAGCCTTCATGAGATGGGTAGTTTTTTGAGAGCTGTCTTCTAGAAAGCAAGGCAAAGCGTGCTGCTTATATACTGCCCCATAGTGCTTCAAGCACTCTCTGGGCGGTTTACAAGTTAATTATGCAGGCTACACATTGCCCCCCCCCCAGCAAGCTGGGTACTCATTTTACCGACCTCGGAAGGATAGAAGGCTGATTCTACCTTGAGCCGGCTACCTGGGATTGAACCACAGGTCGTGAGCACAGTTTTGGCTGCAGTACAGCGGTTTAACCACTGCGCTAAGAGGCTCTTCAAAGCCTAATGGACAGTGAGACTACCCATCTCTGCATTTTACATTTAATTAATGTAGAAATTGATGATTAACCAGTTATTTCTACATTAAATGGAAGCTAGCTAAATACAACAGACTAATATATAAAATTATTTCTGGCAATGAAAACAGACTGAAATTAACAGGACCAAAAGGCAAATGAACATCTTGTTTGTTGTTTGATTCCACAGCAGCTGTTTCAAATACACCTCAAGCAATTTAATAAGACATATCTTTGTTCTTTTGACATTATACATACCTGCACTTGTGGCAGTTTCTGATGGTTGGAAAACCACTGAGGATGACTGGGATGGTGTGGTAGATGCAGAAGAACTGGCAGGTTCTTTTCCTTCCAGTTCAGCTACAGGTAGGAGTGGATTCTGATTCAAATCCAGGTGATTTGGACTGGAAGGGATTCCATTCTCCAAGAGGAACTCATCAAGATCCATGTACTCCAAATGGAAAGACTCCCCATCATAAGGAATAGTTTTGTCCCAGATGGGAGGCATAAGGGAGGCAGAGACAGCCATTGTACCAGTAGCTGTTGCTTCATCTTCCTCAAGCTTTTCTTTCTTCTCTTTATCTAACAGCAAAACAGAATTATGTCATTAATCTTACTATGCTCAGTATTATATCTTAGTATGCTCTCAGTGAATTTTTATAAGGACTGAAAAGGTGCCAGTCTGGTCAGTGATTAAATGGGGCTAACTGGAAACCTTACCTTTACTATTTTGTGTTTATAAAATAAAAGGCAGTTTATAAGTGTAGAGATATATTTAGAAATAATAATGAGTAGAAGAAAGAAAATTACTACAGATAACTGAAAACCTACTTACAAGTAGAAATTATGTTTTATTACTAGAAATCAACAAATAAATTAATATTCTTGCAACATATGGACTTAGTTGGATTTCAGCACCAGAGATTACTCCTCTATGTTGCTGAAAAACAAAGGGTAAGATACTTAACCAGCAATTCAAGCTAAGAGGGCAAATAAAAAGAACCACAGGTGTTTTTAAAAGCGCACTTCTGCTTCCAACTATTTATGCCAGAATGAGAATAAGTACCTTAAACAATACAGGAATAATATTCCTGTGTGGTTTTAAATTCTGCCACTTTGCATTCTTCATATAAAATCACACTCCTCAGACATCCACTGCATTTTTCTAATGGATAGTTGTGTTAGTCTGTTACAGCAAAAACAAGTGGGCCCCTTAAAGACTAAGAAATTTTATTTTGTTGATTATGGTTCACTTCTTTAGATGCATTTTTACACATCTGACTGAGTGAGCTATTGTCCATGAAACCTGATAGCAAGCAAAATTTGCTTGTCTTCAAGGTGCCACAAGACTCCTTGTTGTTTTCATTACGTTCTGAGAGTTCAATCTACAACACTCCTGTACTTTTATATGTAAAGAGAGCTTGCTTCACAAGACATAATCTATCAAGTAATGGGAAGCTTTTGGGAAAAGAAAAACATTCAAACCATACCAAGACATGTGATGATTCAAACTGAGTAATTTGAAGTCGCACTTTGGAAAAAGCTAATTTTTAGTATTAAATTTGGTGAATCATTAATTATTGGTTTCTTCTTTCACATTACAGAGGATAATACTTGTTAAGTCTAAGTATTTTGAAAAGAGTGGATAAAACACAAAATTAATTAAGCATTTAACCACATCCAGCAGGGATTTCAATAAGTTTGATTTCAAAAAGGAAGACGTACTTGAGATCATATTCTAAAACATCCGCTAACTACTGGAACACACCAGAGAATTTTAGAAGATGATCAGTCTATGATTTATAGACTACAGTAAAGCCTTTGACGATGTAGATCACAAGAAACTATGAGTTGTTCTGAAAGAAAAGGGTGTGCCTCAGAACTTGATTGTCCTGATGCATAACTTATACAGTATTGCGGACAAGTAGCTACTGTTAGGACAGAATAGGAGATTGAAAAGAGTGGATAAAACACAAAATTAATTAAGCATTTAACCACATCCAGCAGGGATTTCAATAAGTTTGATTTCAAAAAGGAAGACGTACTTGAGATCATATTCTAAAACATCCGCTAACTACTGGAACACACCAGAGAATTTTAGAAGATGATCAGTCTATGATTTATAGACTACAGTAAAGCCTTTGACGATGTAGATCACAAGAAACTATGAGTTGTTCTGAAAGAAAAGGGTGTGCCTCAGAACTTGATTGTCCTGATGCATAACTTATAGTACAGTATTGCGGATAAGTAGCTACTGTTAGGACAGAATAGGAGAGACAGAATGGTTTCCTATAAGCAAAGGTTTTATACAAGGGTGCATTTTATCCCCCTCAGTTCAATTTGTATACAGGACATATCACACAGAAAGCCAAATTAGATCCAGATGAAGAAGTGAAAACTAATGGAAAAACATCAATAATTCAAGATATGCAAATGATACCAGCTTGCTGGGAAAAGTTGAAGGCAGCAGGAAAAGAGGAAGATGAAATACACTATGGATTTATTTCCTAAAGGAACCCATAGGCTCACATTTGCAGGACTGTTGAGGACAAGCACTCATTCGTAGCATTGCCATAAATTGAAGTGACCTGACAACTCATAACAATAACAGATAAATGTTGGAAGCAGGTCCACTACAACAACACACCTACAGGGTACGTTTCTCAATCAAATCCCCATCAACACAACAAAGTATAAAAGGTGATCCATGTTCACCTTTGGGTGATGCTGATGAACGATGTGTATGCTGGCCCATCCATTCTGTAGGGCGGTATCAAATCATATGCTATTCGTTAGCAGCAGCATCTCAATTTCCAGTTTATTATGAAATACAAAGTCTAACCAAATAAATACAAAATACACACTCCTTCTTCCGGGTTGTTTTTTAAAGCATACTTTGAACCTTGAGAACATGTCATAATAACCGCCCTTGAAACTCCTATTGAACTCTCATCTGCTGTCTGGGCAGGTAGGGTGGGGGACACTATTTCTCTGAACTGGGGAAGGCTAGAGTGAGTGTCCTTTTGACGTGGGATCTGACAGCTACTGTTGGACTATGTGGAATCGGAGATCAAATAAATTCACTGACACTGCAGGGCGTCCTGTGCGCCTCCAACTATTATTGCCGCGCCGCCCACATTGCCTCTGAAGTCGGTCGTGCAATGTTCAATGGGCCTTACTCTCAGGTAAATGTGCCCAGGACACCAACCTTGAGGGAGACGTAGCCCAGAGTAAGCCCCACCACAAGCTGCCCTCACTGAAAGGCGGCAGGTTAGACACCTAAGCCCACGAACAAGTCCGCGGCTAGGGTCGCCCACCACCCACGGGAGAACCTGACCGCACCCCACTCCCCGTTTCCCCGTGAAGGAGCGGCGGAGGGCAATTCGGCCGTGCCGCGGCAAAATGGATGCGACCTGCCCGGCTGAGAGGAGACCAGCGGACTTTCTGGCGGCTTTGCTCGCTTGCCGCTTCCTCCTCCCCACCCCCACCCCCCCTTCACCCACAGCCAGGCTCCCCGGCGCAGTTCTGCAACGACCGACAGGTCAGCGAAGCCGCGCTCCCGCCGCACTCACCAAGGCGCGCGTCCCGCGGCGGATTCTCCATCAGCTTCTTCAGCACCAAGGGGAAAGCGCCCGCCAGGCCCCGCTCCTGCTGCGCGGCTCCCGCGACGGCCGCCGCCACTGCTACCTCCTGAGGCGCGGTACGGGTGGTCATGCTATTCGCGGTTAGGGATCGACGGGCGAAGGCCGAAAAACCCCCTTGAGAGCCCAGAGGGGTGGATGAAGCAAACAAACAACGAAGGGGGCCGAGGGGGCTCGTGAGGAAAAAAAGGGGGGGGAACACAAGCACCGACTACGACTGCGCATGCGCCAATCCGCACTGTCACTTCGTCGACGGCCCGAAAGTACTTATTATTCATGAACGCCCCGCTTCCCCACCCAACGCAGATTTCGCGCTCTGTGATTGGATAAGGCTCTCTGAAAGGCGGTTCCAGCCGAGTCGGCTTCGTACTAAGGACCCTTAACGCACGTGCAGTAGAGGGGTGAGCGCATCTTATTAGCTCAAAAGCCCCGCCCCTTACTGTGTCCCGCCGAGACTCAACGAGTTCTTCTCGGGCTGTGTGTACCCGAGCCGCTCAGCCTCAACAGAACCTCGGAGGAAGGGCGGGGCCTTGGGGCGTGCGCGCGAGCGAGCTCTCAGAGTGGCCAATAGGAGGACAAGGAGGCGGTGCCTTCTCCTGGGCGCAAAGCAAAGGGCAAGCGGCAGAGGGAGTAGAGACCAGTTTACGGAAAAGACACTGGATTAGGCTTCCGATGAAAAGGAGGGGGCCCGTCCACAAGGTATCGCTGGAGGAGAAGCAAGGACAGCCTTGTATGTCCTGGAAAAATGCAACACAACACACGCTGTAATGCTGCTCTTTTGGAAAATACACGCGCCCGCCCGCACACCTACAGACACAGTGCCTCGTATTTCCACAGATCTGTGGACACCAGAGTAGAAATAAATCCGACTTTTATGTCGGACTAGTATGACGTATCTATGAAGACCTAACGTTTTGATTTTTCCATGGAATAGGTCCTCCTGCTCCTCAGTCTCTCTTGCTTCGGCAACTACTATCCATTTTCCTTCGCCGCTGCAGCCCTGTGCAGAACTCCCTCCTTCAGCAGTGCCCTCCCTGGTACTGCTGCTCTTGCTTCCAGCCTTTAGTCCCACTTTTTCTCTGTCAGGGGTGGCCATATCATTGGGCAGAGTTAGGCAACCGATGTTGGCGAACTAGGAGCAGCTGTGAGGAGCTGGGTGCAAGAGCCATGTCTCCTGAGCGGCCTGCCACTGTCCTCTGGCATATGACAAGATGATTCCTTGTCATGGTGACGCAAGAGTCAACTGTCTCCACTAGCTTCATGTGAGAGCAGAAGAGGGAGCACCCTCTTGTTCTTTGCTTCAGGCAGCAAAATGTCTCACAACGGATATGAACATATGCAGTGATCCCTGAGCAGTTATTCCCAACTATACGAACCATAGAGCGCTTCCAGATACATTTGTTCTTCAAAATGCAGTTTTTCCCCATCATTGAGGTCATCACTATGTTTCCCACCATTCAGACAGGATAAGGCATGCCTCAATATATATAGGTATAAACAGGTATAAAATCCATGTCTTCTCATGTTTTTCTGTGCTCTGTGCAAAAAACTGGTTTATCAGCTTGTTACAGTGGGCATAGTTCAGCACTATGATACGTCTCCATTTAAATTGCTTCTGCTGATTTAGTTTCTGGTTGGAAACGTTCAAACTGGGGTCACAGTCTATATACACATAGAAAAAAACTCTAGAGGAGCAGTTCCACTGAGGAAACTGATTTTCTAAACATTTAAGGATTCTCCTCAGAGAAGACAGCTGATAGCGGGTGGGGCAAGAATCAAAGCAAGTGAAAGTCCTTGTGCTCAGGAAGAAAACTTAAATCTCCCTATTACTTAAAGCATACTCTCTTTTGGTGGTTTATTGTTTGTTCTGTAGTTGTTGTTGTTGTTTAGTCGTTTAGTCATGTCCGACTCTTTGTGACCCCATGGACTAGAGCACGCCAGGCCCTCCCTTCTTCCACTGCCTCCCGGAGCTGGGCCAAATTCATGTTGGTCGCTTCGATGACACTGTCCAACCAGCTCATTCTCTGTCATCCCCTTCTCCTCTTGCCCCCACACTTTCCTAACATCATGGTCTTTTTCAGGGAGTCTTCTGTTCTCATGAGATGGCCAAAGTACTGGCGCCTCAGCTTCAGGATCTGTCCTTCCAGTGAGCACTCAGGCTTGATTTCCTTTAGAATGGATAGGTTTGTTCTCCTTGCAGTCCATGGGACTCTCAAGAGTCTCCTCCAGCACCACAGTTCAAAAGCATCAATTCTTCGGCGGTCAGCCTTCCTTGTTCTGTAGTAAACACTAGCTAAAATCTCATGACATAAAGTTAGATCATGTATACTGTATTTAATGATGTCCTGAGTTGTGGCTGTATTTTGGTAATTAAAAGTTTCCTATTCCCCTGGTCTCAGAGGTTCCTAGGCTCTGTTACTATCCCTTTGGTCCTGGGGAAATCATTAAAGACAGTGGGATGGGGGCAAGAAGCCTTAAATGCCTGAAAATTACTACTGCCATTCCCACTAGTAGCAATTTTTGCACAATTAAGATTCCATCCCATAATGTGGCCCCAAAGGCTTCTCAAATGACCAAAGAGATCCCAAGGAACCTCAGGGGGGGAGTGGAACAGGAAACTTTTAATTACCAAAATATTGCCGTGCATATGACATCTTCAGATTTACATGGCCTAACCATACATTACTAAATTTCAGTCACTGCATCATTACTCTGCCTGGCTCTCTCCCTAAAGGTTGGTGGTTTGCACTGGAGGAAAGTGAAACATAAGAATATTCCTTTTCCACCTCATGTTTCCCCCCTCTTTCTGGATATTCTTTAATGAGTGGATGCCAGTAAATCTGATTCTTTGAGAACAAACAAAACTCTAGAGAACACTAAAAAAACCAGTAAGAGCCAAAGGAAATTAATTCATCCAGGACAGTGGCTTCCAACCTTGGGATACTCAGGTATTCTTGGACTGCAGTTCCCAGAAGCCTTCACTACCAGCTGTATTGGCTGCGGTTTCTGGGAGTTGTACTCCAAGAACACCTGGGCTACCCAAGGTTGGGAACTACTGCTCTAGAAGACTTCTCTTTTTTTCCCCAGCATTCATCACTAGCTGTTAAATAAAGAAAGTCATGTCCTTGAGTTTCTGAGCAGGGCTGTTACCTGTGTTTTGGTGGTCAACAATTCATAGGGGTTTCGGATATAATGGTGCTACAGAAATAATAATTTCTGACATTTTAAAACCATAAAATATTTTTCTATAGAGAAACAACTAATATAAAATGTTACTATGGAGTACAGTACTGTTAGGCTCAAGTATGGCATATAGTGGTCAGCAAGGATCACAATATTTTCCACATTCACTCTATTTTAATACGACCAAGCAAACAGGTTTACAATACTTATGGCTTAGTAAAGTGTCTAAAAAAGTTTACAACACACTTGAAACACAGGCAAGCTTCCCACATGATAGAGCTACGAAAGAAACCATGGTCCTTGAAGTGCAATCACAATCATCTCCTGCACTTCTTTCTTTTAGTGGTCATCATCACTACTACAGAGGCAGCCCTACCATTAGGAAGAACGAAGCACCAAGTCCAGGAAGGAGGTGTCAGGAAAAGGTAGAAAATACTTATTTATTTTATAATTAATATAACTGAACACTATGCACCTTGATTTGGGTTGCCAATTATGGATTTTAACAGAAATATGTGGCAGAAAAATATATTACAATAGAAGAAATTTGAATGGGGTGCAAAGGTGTTGCTCTAAAAAATTAAAAGACTTTTAAAAATGTGCCTCAGTCTTAAAAGTGAAAGCATAATTAAAAAACTACAGCTGGGAACAAACTAAAACAACTGATTTGTTTTGGTACAAAGAGAACTGATAAGATATATAAGATCATTTATTGAGTTTTGTGTCATTGTTCTTGATGAAAAAGCAAACAACAATGCTTATGTTATGGAACAGATAAAATAACAACAAAAAAAGAAAGTTTATTTTACCACTTGAGTTCTGTTTGCCTACAGTTTTAATTAATAAATACCACAAAATAGATGTGGAAACCTGTGTTAAACAAATGACAATAACAATCAGTTATGAAATAGAAGCTTTAACAAAACAGTGTGTGAGAAAAAGATGAATGGTATTTTAAGTACTGTAGTTTGCTTCTTGATAAGCAAAGAGAAAAGAGAAACAAAAGTGCTATGCCTTATATTTATATAAGGCAAATAATTAATACTTCCTTAATTCAGTGTGGTAACAATTAGGAGTATGAACTCAGAAAGTAGTATTTTAAATGTAAAAGCATGTTAACAGTCATTCAGGATATATTGTCCAAATATGGTACTGTGGTGTCCGCCCAGGTCAGGAATATTAATGGACTATCTGCATATACCAATTAGAGTGTTGGGGAGGCAGAGTCACTAGATATAAGAGTCTCTACAGGAGGGGGAGATAGGAAGATTGGTGAATCTGGAGTTTGGGAGTAGAGAGAGGGTTGGCGGTTGAGGATGGATTAAGTAGGATATTTTGTTAAGAGTTAACAACATTGACTATACCTTCATCACCTGTAATAATAAACAACTTCTATTTGTTTGTTTTTAATGATACATTGCCAGGACCTCTATAATTAACAGTAAACAATGTTGATGTAATCAACTGGTGGCAGTGACACGAGACATGGCTTGTGCCCTTTGCTTGGTAAAACAACCAATGGACATGACAGGTACTAAGGAAGTTTCCCGACTAGGAGATATTTCTGCTAGTAGTTGGCTTGTACCCCAGCTGAACTGACCCATAGTTGTCTGGAGAAGCTAACTTAGTTTACCCACAGGAAAGCCAAAGTTCAGCGTCTTGTTTTGTATAAGACACACATCAGGTGTATAAAAACAGAGATTTCTATCAGGTTTACGGAACATCTCCCAGAGCACATCTCCCAAGAACCACAGCCACCTGCTTTTTGCAAACAAGTGGGAAGATGAAGATGGACTGAGAGCATCTAGGAGATAACTAGGGGAATAACATAGATAAAGGTTGAGAAAGATGGGCGAGCTTTTCTCTTCTTAAAGAAAATATTTTTCTGTATGTCAACTATATGCTTAGAGCTAAATAATGTTTTTTACTTTGCATGTTGTAACAAGACCTCTGATGTTCTTTAACGTATTTTAAAGAAAGTTCTTGAAGCTTTTGAAGTTATATTGCTTTTTACTTTTAAATGAACTGTTCTAAAGATGTTTTATTTGCCTTATTAGGCTATAAACTCTTATTGCTCATTTTTACTCTTGAAGGAGTATATACTCTTAATGAAGATGTTCCTGTATTTCAGGATGTAACTTAAAACATTCTTTTTTGATATTTTATTGTACCTGTGCTCTTATATT